TTGCATGATCCTACAAAACATCAAAATGTAACCTTGTCACATCATGTATTAATAATCAACAATTAGGAACTTAATAGAGTTAGATAATGGACTTACCTGATGCAGAACCACACAATCTGACTAAAGTTCTCAGGTAGTCAGGGCAGTTTCGATTCCAATGTCCCTTTCCTTGGCAATAGAAACACTCTTTTGGAATGGCATATGGAACAATCTCAGATTTGGCCTTTCCCTTATGATCAAAACTTTTGATCATGACCAATTCCTTTCCTTTAGGAAAAGGAATCATTTCTTGGATATCCATATCATTGCCCATGTCAGCTTGAGATGTAGATCTTCCAGTTAAATTTGCTTGACCATTGCGCTAAATCATTGCTGATTCAACATCAATCAGCAAATAATTAAGATCAATAAGGGTTATGTCGTGATCTGTTACATTGTAGTCTTTAACGAACTCACTATATGATTCGGGAAGTGACTGAAGAACCTAGTCAATAACCAACTTCCTTGGGAACACACCACCCAACATTCTCATCCTGTCAACGTGTGACCTCATATCCAAGACATGTTTGCACACAGACTTTCCATCCTTGTGTTTTCTATCCAATAGGGCTTGAGTGATCTTGAACTTTTCAAGTCTTCGAACTTGTGGGTTTACGATAATAATTAAAGGAGGTGGAGGAAGTGAAGTATGATTTCCATTTCCACTAATGCACGACAAAGGGATTAATCTTACACCTTGATTGCCACGTGGGATATCATCTTCAAGATGAAAGCTTGTTCCAAAAGATTTGGGAAGACCATAGTTGTTTGAAGTAGACATCTACAATGGGAGAAATTCAAGTTAGTTGATTTAAGTCCTTAATATAACACCCAAATGAAATATTAAGGCTAGGACCCAACACAATATTTTACAATTCGGATGAGGGATATCGTAATCCTATTTCAAAATATTTGAAGGTACGTAAATGACGATTTACCAATTTTCACCATGAAAAACAAAATTGATAATCAAGTTTTAAATGAATTGAAATTCCTAGATCCTTTGAGATTCATTGGACTTTTCAATATCATGTTTAAATCTCGATTGTGCCCTTTAAGTTTGTGACTGGGATGCTGAGGCCCAGACCCTTTATGCACCTAAAGGTTGATCTGAGATAGAGTTGGTATCACCTAAAGGCCCAGACCCTTTATGCACCTTTATCTTGGGAAAACCACATTGCCACGCTTGAACTACACCACAATTCTCCACAAAGCTCTATCAATTAAGCTAACATCCCACGTAATATTGTATCGTTTACCACTCCCGCCAAATATATATAATTTGACTAGGTAATACCCACAAGACGGCTGCTTATGAACAAATGACAAATTAGTCTAATGGTATTCGGGGTTGACGGATATGAGCCCTTCAAGCAAAGGTTCATGGTTTAAGTCCCAACTATGACAAAATATGTAGATTTGGAAGTATAATATTTTTTATTAGTTTCTCTAAAAAAAAATTAGGTTTACAAAAAAATTAGAAACTACAGAGCAAATGTCAATCTCATAGCATATCAAAATCCAATGATTGAATTTGCAAGAAATAGTTATCCAATTCTTTATTTACCTTTCCATTTTTCTTGGTTTGGAAACTAATCATGCACAAACAACGTATAATTTTGTTTAATAATACAACGTCAAGACATTTGAATATTTGTTAATTTCTTCATATTTTCAAACTCGTTCATGTCAAAAATGGGAACTTATTTATTTTCAAACTTGTTTATGAGGTTAATAATAACAACAAACCATTTCAAAATAGTTTATGCAAATATTAGGTACTAGTTGTGAGACCCATATATTGTATGAATTAATTAAAAAAATAATAATAATAATAATAAATGTAAATGTCAAAGTCTTTAAAAACTTTGAATTTATAAGAAAATAAAAAATAATAAATTATTATAATGAAAATATTTTTTATCTTTTAAATTTAAATAAATAATAAAAAACTAATGAGTTTTAATTGTGAGAATTTTGAAATTAGAAGATAAGCTCGTTAATGAAATTGATATCAATTTATTACTATATTTATTACAATTATTACATTAAAATATTAAATGAAATTTAATAAAATACAAAAACATATAAAATGATAGGTGGAAAAAAAAATCCAATTAACCATAAAATAACATTTGGGAATTTAAATGATAGTGTGACAAGACAAAAAAAGACATTCATTTATTATAAATGATTATATATATAACATTAGTTTATAACCCGCGGAAACCACGATTATAAAATTAATTAAATTTTTATAATAAAAACTCAAAATTATTAATCAATTATTTTAAATAAATTACTAATTAAGATATATTTTTATTAGTTATGTGAAATTATAATCATTGATTCAAATAAATATGTAAAATTAATTTTTAATATATATCAGACATTTTTTATTTGTGAACTAATGAAAACAATAATATAAAATTTAAAATTTAAAATAGAAAAATCAACACATTGATAAATAGCATTACATTAATAAGGAGGTCTAATAAATTTAAAATGATAAACTAATAGATTGACAAGTGGTAATACATTAATTAAGATATCTAATATGATAACATAGTCTTTTAGTATAGAGATTTAACAACAAAAAGATATGGGTATATTTTCGCACTCGTTATTTATTATAGGATGTTCTAAAACGATAATCTTCTTAGAAAACCCATATTTTAAATAAGAGGAAGCACAACAGTCAATCAGAAACAATACTACATCCGCCCTATGGCAGCCTCATGTTCGCGACCAAATTCAACATACTCTTCTTTTAAGCTTCCTTCCTTTTGCATGATCCTACAAAACATCAAAATGTAACCTTGTCACATCATGTATTAAGAATCAACAATTATGAACTTAATAGAGTTAGATAGTGGACTTACTTGAAGAAGAACCATACAATCTGACTAAAGTTCTCAGGTAGTCAGGGCAGTTTCGATTCCAATGTCCCTTTCCTTGGCAATAGAAACAAACAAGCTCTTTGGGAATGACATATGGAAGAATCTCATATTTGGCCTTTCCTTTATGATCAAAACTTTTGATCATGACCAGTTCCTTTCCTTTAGGAAAAGGAATCATTTCTTGGATATCCATGCCATTGCCCATGTCAGCTTGAGATGTAGATCTTCCAGTTAAATTTGCTTGACCATTGCGCTAAATCATTGTTGATTCAGCAGCAATCAACAAATAATTAAGATCAATAAGGGTCATGTCGTGATCTGTTACATAGTAGTCTTTAACAAACTCACTATATGATTCGGGAAGTGACTGAAGAACCTAGTCAATAGCCAACTTCCTTGGGAACACACCACCCAACATTCTCATCCTGTCAACGTGTGACCTCATATCCAAGACATGTTCGCACACAGACTTTCCATCCTTGTGTTTTCTATCCAATAGGGCTTGAGTGATCTTGAACTTTTCAAGTCTTCGAACTTGTGGGTTTAGGATAATAATTAAAGGAGGTGGAGGAAGTGAAGTATGATTTTCATTTCCACTAATGCACGACAAAGGGATTAATCTTACACCTTGATTTCCACGTGGGATATCATCTTCAAGAGGAAAGCTTGTTCCAAAAGATTTGGGAAGACCATAGTTGTTTGAACTAGACATCTACAATGGGAGAAATTCAAGTTAGTTGATTTAAATCCTTAATATAACACCCAAATGAAATATTAAGACTATGACCCAACACAATATTTTACAATTCGGATGAGGGATGTCGTAATCCTATTTCAAAATATTTGAAGGTAGGTAAATGACGATTTACCAATTTCCACCATGAAAAATGAAATTGATAATTAAGTTTTAAATGAATTGAAATTCCTAGATCCTTTGATTATATATATAACACTAGTTTATAACCCGTGGGAACCACGGTTATAAAATTAATTAAACTTTTATAATAAAAGCTCAAAATTATTAATCAACTATTTTAAATAAATTACTAATTAAGATATATTTTTATTAGTTATGTAAAATTATAATCGTTGATTCAAATAAATATGTAAAATTAATTTTTAATATATATTAGATATTTTTTATTTGTGAACTAATGAAAACAATAATATAAAATTTAAAATTTAAAATAAAAAAATCAACACATTGACAAGTAGCATCACATTAATGAGGAGGTTTAATAAATTTAAAATGGTGAACTAATAGATTAACAAGTATCAATACATTAATTAGGATATCTAATATGATAACACATGAAAAAAGAAGTCCTCTTTTATTAATATAGAGATTTAACAACAAAAATATTTATTATAGGATGTTCTAAAACGATAATCTTCATAGAAAACCCATATTCTAAATAGGGAGAATTTCATATATGCCCTTCTTAAACCTCAAAATATCATATTTACCCAGCTTAATTTCTTAATATCATATTTACCCTTCATAAACCTTCAAAATATCATATTTACCCAAATCCTTTTTTATAATGTTTTTAATATTTTATAATCATTTTTTATAACTTAAAATTACTATAATAATTAAAAAAATTAACGATATTATCCTTAATTCTATGATAATGGAATATGAACTTCTAAATTGTTGGAATGTCGTCCTCTTGACAAACAAAAATATTCATCTTCAACCCTCTCTATGGAATGTATATTTTGATTCTTTAGTTTTTTTTTGTTGATTATGTTGTAGATGAAGGATATTTTAGATATTAACATTGATATTTTAATGTTTAAAAAGTACATATACGATATTTTGATATTTAAGAAGGGCATATATGATATTATGATGTTTAAAAAGGACATATATGATATTTTGAAATTTTATGAATGGTAAATATGATATTTAGAAATTTTAGGAAGGGTAAATATGATATTTAGAAATTAAGTTGGGTAAATATGATATTTTGATGTTTGAGAAGGGCATATATGAAATTCTCCCTTAAATAAGACCTTTTAAATAAGAGGAAGCACAACAGTCAATCAGAAACAATACTACATCCGCCCTATGGCAGCCTCATGTTCTTCCAGAAACAGATCCACCGGAGTCCTAAACGCCCCATGAGCAGAAACAATTGCCATTCCGAGGAGTGCCGAAATCAAAACAAATCCAAGGATCGTAAAAAAGATCCCAACAATGCTAAAAACAATCAACAACCCGAGAGTTTCACGCTCTGAAAATGTACGATCGAAGATCACCAACGGCATATCAGACGGACGGAAGAGGTACAAAAATAGCCACGCGGCTGAGAGACCAAAGAGTATTACCAGAGAAAAAGGGTTTGTAAAGATAGAAACACCAATGAAGGCAAGGACTACGGTGAGGTAGTTGAAATGGAAGTAGGAATAGTTCTTTTGGATACGCGTTGCTGCATCCGTTAGTGATTCAGGCTTAGAGAATGTGGAACGGTCTGAAAGTAGTTCCGACCAAGGGCGGTGTTGGGAGAGGCCGGAGCGGACGGTTTCTATTATGTGGTTGATGAACGGACGGAAGTCAGGGGCGGCGGCAGGTGAATGGGATTCACCGGTGGAAATGGTTTTTGGGTTTGTGATGGGAAGGATCGCCGGTGATGAGGGCGACATTTTAATGTGAGGATATTTGGCCGAGGTTTACTGGGTAGAGTAGAGAGAGAGAGAGAGATGCAGAGTTGACGATGGGTTTAACATGATAATTAAGATTATTTAAGAGCGTTTAAAACTTAAGAACAAAGATATTGAAGTCAAAATTTTTCTGTAGATTTAATACTGAATTTAATCCTTTATCAGCGAAGATATGGCAGGTGAACTTCTCTTGGAATTAGTCATATACAATTGTAAGCTTAAATAATGAGTTAAAACTCAAGAATAGCAAGAAATTGCTCTGGGTTAACGTCATGTAAACATCAGTCGTTAATATTAGAGAAATTTACAAAAATAGCCATTTACACTAATGATATTACAAAAATAGCCAAAAAAAATCGAAATTACAAAAATAACCACCCATTTCGCAGATGAGAAGGTCTCATCTGCGAAATGGGCCTTCTCATCTGCGAAATGGGCCTTCTCATCTGCAAAAGTACAAGTGCCTAAAGCACAACTGTGCTTTAAGCACTTGTACATTCGCAGATGAGAAGGCCCATTTCGCAGATGGGACCTTCTCATCTGCGAAATCCCCTTAATTTCACTATAAAAACGTTTTTTTTTTCCTTCATTTTTCACCATTCTCTACACAAAAACTCTCTCTAACTTTGGCTTAGCTCGGATTTTTTGCTAGTTTTTGAAGAAAATGGAGGATTATGTCAACAATCCTGCAAATATGGTTACATTTTTACTCTTTTAATGTCAACAATCTCTTTTTTTGTATCATTTGTTGTATTAAGGATGTGTTAAAAAAGTTTAATTTTGTTGTGTTTGATAGGGTTAATATTTTTTTAGTTGTTGAGTTGTTGTATAACCTGAAATCTTGTATATTCTAATCGTATAGTTGTTTATATAAAGTGCAAAATAGTCGTTTGTATATATATTTGTCGTATAGGTATAACGTTTTTATAAGTTGAAAATTTGTGGTATATATAATGTTAGAAATTGTTTGTGTTTGTCGTATAAGTAAAACATTTGTATTAGTTGAAAATTTGTTTTATATATATTGTTAGAAATTGTTTGTGTTTGTCGTTTAAGTAAAACATTTGTATAAGTTGAAAATTTGTGTTATATATATATTGTTAGAAATTGTTTGTATAAAATGTTTATATATTAGTTGTATAACTTGGGAATATTGTTTTCTATCGTTAATATATTAGTTGTATAACTTGGGAAATTGTTTATATATGTGTATGTTATTGTTTTGTATGGGAAATATATATATATATATATATATATATATATATATATATATATATATATATGTAATTAAGAAATTGTATTTGCAGTTTGTAATCATATATTTTTTAAGTTGAATATTGTTTTCTATCGTTAATATATTAGTTGTATAACTTGAGAAATTGTTTATATATGTGTATGTTATTGTTTTTTTATGGAAAATATATATATTAGTAATTAAGAAATTTTATTTGCAGTTTGTAATCATATATTTTTAAAAAAAAATATTTTTTAGTTATCTAATTTGTTTTTGTGTTTTTTCTGCAGCATGATTTTAGTTTAATGAATACGAAAGCCTTTGCGAACTTAAAAGGCTGTGACGGTAACATATGGGAAGTATTTGAAGTTTTAGATGATGCCCGACGTGCTATTTTCCGAGATACTGTCTTTGGTTATTTTATTGATGTCCCTCGTTTACAAGGGGACGCATTATTGTTTCATAAAATGTTCCTTCATCAGATCCGGCCGGACCCTGTTTTATATCCAGATGGACTACGATTTTCAGCTTTATGCAGTGTTTTGTCATGTCAAACTGTTTTATATCTAGATGGACTACAATGTTGAAGAACATGTGTGTACATCAACAAATTTATTCACTTGGAAAAGACCATCAGAATTTTTAATTACTTTTGCTCTTAGTAACCAAGAACAATTTTTCGAAACACACACAGCTTCATACCTTGATTTGGTGGATCTACTTGTCCTCGTCTGGAAACCTTCTCGAAGATATTTTTTACCAATACACCGCTTTAAAAGTTCTTTGTTCTTAAATATACTCTCACATTGAATCTTTTGAAGATTCATATCTACCATCTGTGTTGGGATATCTTCATTAATATCAACTGGCCATGCTGGTACAGGGGGCATACCATGAAAAAGGTTATCGGGAAACTTAGCTTTAACTTCATCACCCAACTCATCTCTATCGGAATTGATTTGTAGCTCGCTTATATCTAAACATACATCACCAACATCAACATAATGCCCGTAAACATGATTTTTTTCATTTTTTTTACTTGAATTTTTTTTCTTTTTTGTTTTATCTACCACACGCCTATTCATAAGTTTAACTTCTTGTTCGGCAACATCATCACAACGACCACCCACATGATTAAGATATGCACCAACATCATCATCCCCAACAGACTTGTAATTCTCAGGTTCCACATAGTGAATAGGTGAATAACTAACATTAACATTTTCAGCAACACTGTGAAACTGAGGTACACTAGGAGTATTGTAAGTACCTATCGGATCGTTGCTCCCTTTATAACTGCATAAATTACCAACAACTTGGTTTCCAATTTCACCAGCCCCATTAACCTCCTCAACTTCATCAACCACCACAAACACTTTCACAGCCCTTCCTCCACTACATTTTATTACGTTTATCAACATTCTAACATCCATGTCTTCCACTATAGCTATATAATAATTTAATTCAGGATGGTGGAAACGAAGACTAATTTTATATTTGTCTAACAAACCAATTTTGCTTCTTACCAAAGATACAAAATCACTATAACTAATATACTCAGAAAATATCAAAGCAAGTTCAGAAATACCTCCCTGTGGACATATGTATTCCAGATTAGTTCCATTAACTTACCATCTCCCACCGGTTACAAGACAAACCATATATTCAATCATTTTTTGAGAAAATTGTAGAGAGAGTTCCTAAACAAATAACAACCAAAATGATATTTTTTCTACAAAACTATTTATATAGCAACCTGATTTCGTAGTCAAAACAAACCATTTCATAGTCAACCTAAAAAAAAAATTCAAAAAAAAACACGATTTCGCAGATACAATCAGAGGATTTCGCAGATGGACCTATTCCATCTGCGAAATAACCCCTATATATACAGCAAAAAATTTAAAAAAAAAAAAAAAAGGCCACCTGCGAAAGTACAAGTGCCTAAAGCACAACTGTGCTTTAGGCACTTGTACTTTCGCAGATGAGAAGCCCATTTCGCAGATGGGACCTTCTCATCTGCGAAATGGGTGGTTATTTTTGTAATTTCGATTTTTTTTGGCCAATTTTGTAATATCATTAGTGTAAATGGCTATTTTTGTAAATTTCTCTTAATATTAATATTTATATTTGAGTTTAATAAACTTTATTTATTCTAAATCCTATTTTTCTAATTTTATTTCAGTTGAAACTTAACCATTGGTTTGATGGTATCATTTTATCATGTCTACATGGCACTGATTGGTTTGAATTACTTGGCCAAGTATTGATTGGTTTGATGGTTATTATGTCTATGACGTGCCATCTATTTATTGATTTAAGTACAAAATGGTTTCTAAATCATTATTTTTTTATTTTTTATTATTATTATTATTATTATTTTTTGAAATCGAAGGTTCAAGTCTCATTATGAACATAGATGATATTAAAAATAGTTTACTAGCAATATGTTAGATTTACCGTTTAAAAGAAATTTATTGATTTAAGTTATATTTTGAACTAGAAAAAAACTCATGTTATCTAACCGGATCCTTTTTTTTAATCACCAGTTTAGTTTAGTAATAGGGAAGAAACTTCACAGAGATCTTTTCTATAAATACAAAAATCTTACATATATGGATTGTTTTTGGAAAAAAAAAAACCCTTTACAAAGGCCTTTTCTATAAATTAAAAAGTTACATGGACTCAATATGCCAAATCGTGAAGCCTTTGTTGCAGAGACTAAATCTATTAAAATATACAATCTTTGTTGTAAGAACTGAATCTATCAAAACATTTGAATGAACTACATCTACCAAAATATAAAACCTTTGTTGTAATGATTAAATCTACCAAAATATAAAACTTTTGTTTTTAAGGACTAAATCTACTAAAATATAAAATATTTTTTATAAGGACTAAATCTACCAACATAAAAAACATTTGTGATAAAAGTCAAAAAGTGAAAAATATCTTTATTCATATGCACAATAAGAATTAATAATATATATAATGAGTTGTTAAATGTTTGATTGTAGAAAACTGTTATTATTTTCCAAGAAAATGTTTTTAAAAAATATAGTTGAGTTTCATTTTTGGTTTTCAATGAAAATTTTAGAACACACGTTTGATTGAAACTGATAAAATTTTGATTTTTCCATCTTAAAGATTTAGAAAACTATATAAATCACTTTTCTAATTTACATATAATTTGAAAAACAGAATTTTTTTATTTTCCTAGAAAGTTTTTGAAAACAAAATCAAAATTTTCATTTTGATTTGAAATTTTTCCTGGAAAACTAAAATAATTTCTGCAACCAAACGCACTCTAAGAGATTAAAAGTTTTGGAAAAATCTCAAATTAAATAAAAAGTTTTACTCGCATGAATTTTTAACAGAAAGTTATAATCCAAAATTCCAAACAGGATGGGATTCATAACAAAATTTAATCGGGTCCATTATTAATAAAAAATACATAAATATATTTAAAAAAAATAAAAAGCTATACTACTTTTGGTGTTTTTAAGTAAAAAAAATCAATGAGGAGTAAATGCTAATGAGGAGATTTTTAGTAAGAATATGATTATGGAGAACATTTTATTAATAAATATGGCATGATTCATTTTTAAATCGGATCCATGCATCCCACTGTCTCCACTACTAACCACATGTATGTTGGACAAAATTAAATTGTAAGTTGTTAGCTGTAACTCGTAGATTGTAAATTGGTAATCGTTAGCTGATTTCTAGATGTTGAAATCCGAAATTT